TCCGTGATCCAATTGTTCGCCCGGTCTCCCCAATGTAAACAATTCCACATATTGAACATTCGATTTTGTAAACTACATTCTTCTTAAGGCAAAGGTTCGGTTTAGAAGACAACTTACACGTTTCACATTCGCCCTGGCAGTTCTGTTTAGTCTTTGGTGGAGCAAAAACTTTAGAAAAGGGTGGACCGTTGGTAAAATGTAATCTTATATTCGGTATTCGTGATCGCTTTACTACCCCTATAGCCTGTCGTTTAAATTCTTCGTTGATAAATGGTAGCTTTACATAGGTAAATTGCTGTTGCTCTAATTCCTCCGGTTCGTTATCTTTCTTGTTATGCCGTTGTCTGTTTTTATGAATCGTTCTTCTAATTATGGATTTAGTGAATGTTTTGGGATATCCATTGGCAGTGAATAACTCCGTAATGAGATTAAGTGACTTCTTTTGTGTTGTGGAATCAGTTGAACAATTAATAGCCCTGTTTACTTCCCCAGTTACTATGACTCGTTTAGAGGATATTGACCCGTGGCTGTCCCATGGTGTAATGCATTGACTGTGAATTGGTTTTATGTAGAGGGTTGTAGTGAATATTTGAGTATCGGGGTTCCAAGTAACGAGAGTATCCAAAAAAGGCAATTGGTTGTTATTTGGCATTTCAAGTGTGAATTTGATTGCACTGTTTAGGTTATTGGCTAATGTTAAAAGCTTTTGTCCTGAAAGGTCTATACATAACAGGAAAGCAAAATAATCGTCGATAAATCGCTTGAGAGTGACAAATCCATTAGACTTAAGTAAAATTTGATTGTCGATTTCATTTTAGCGACTATATATATGAACGAAATCGACAATCAAATTTTACTTAAGTCTAATGGATTTGTCACTCTCAAGCGATTTATCGACGATTATTTTGCTTTCCTGTTATGTATAGACCTTTCAGGACAAAAGCTTTTAACATTAGCCAATAACCTAAACATTGAAATGCTTTGAAACTACGACATGTAGTACGCATGCGTATTCGAGATATGACTTACTTTGTCACTTTTATAATATTTTGTGTGTCCCACATACGCATCCTACTTTGTCGTCATATAAATATTTCGAGATGCAGCTCCTCCATTAGCTACACTGTGCTGATGAGCCCCAAAAGGGCGAAACAGCTGTCCACAGTTGCTAATGTGAGCAGGACACACTAAAGTCATAGTCCGTTCATGGCTCTTTACGCTGCTTTGAAACTACGACATGTAGTACGCATGCGTATTCGAGATATGACTTACTTTGTCACTTTTATAATATTTTGTGTGTCCCATATACGCATCCTACTTTGTCGTCATATAAATATTTGGAGATGCAACTCCTCCATTAGCTACACTGTGCTGATGAGCCCCAAAAGGGCGAAACAGCTGTCCACAGTTGCTAATGTGAGCAGGACACACTAAAGTCATAGTCCGTTCATGGCTCTTTACGCTGCTTTGAAACTACGACATGTAGTACGCATGCGTATTCGGGATATGACTTACTTTGTCACTTTTATATATATATATATATATATATATATATATATATATATATATATATATATATATATATATATATATATATATATATATATATATATATATATATATATATATATATATATATATACTCTATCTTTATGATATTGAGCACTCTTTGCGTTTTGTATTCATAAACCTACTCGTATATATATATATATATATATAGTTTTTCGTTTTACCTCAAAAACCACAACAGTCTGTTTCATCCGTATAGGAATCATCAGGTGGTCTGATGATTCCTATACGGATGAAACAGACTGTTGTGGTTTTTGAGGTAAAACGAAAAACTATATTACGCTCTATCTATATGGTATTGAGCACTGTTTGTGTTTCGTAAACCAAAATCTTAAGCTATATATATATATATATATATATATATATATATATATATATATATATATATATATATATATATATATATAAATAAAATAAAAAAGTATACTTACCGGTATGTTGTTACAATCTGCTCGATAGCCCTGGGCGAGAGTGGTGGTGAGTTCAGTCTTGATATTAACATGACTATCAGTCGTATAACACATGGTCCAACCTCCACCAAATGACGTCATGTCACAAAATACTTCGAATGGAATCCCTTGACTTTCTCCATCTGGGTCTATCAAATATTTTCCGTCACCTTGACTTAAACCTTTATTTTTGATATCGAGACAGCTAGTGCCAGGAAAGCAGCTTGCATTGTATTCCTGCAAAAACGAACATATATTTTGTAATTTTCTTCACATGATAACACTTGCCGACGCCTTAATAATTCGTGATATCGCAAGAATCAAATTCAATAACTGCTTTATTATAAATCTCATTTTTGTTAGCTCAAAATTTCACGTCCGAGCGCACCAGCGGTGGTATAAATCACGTGCATGGTAGATTCGTGAAATACGACTAAATCACCCCATCACTTTTCTAATGGTCCGTCCCTTTAGGGAGTACTTTCAAACAAAAAAGCTCTGGCGAAAACAACATTTTAATATTTCTCCTGTTTGTTACGATAGACGTAGACTGCATGAGATGGGATTTTAATTGATGATATGTTCAATAGTTGTTTAGTACATTGAAATGACCAAAGGCGGCAGAATGTAGGCCTATGAATATTTGGCACGTTCATATAGGAATAATTTGAATTCATTCGAACGGGAAACATTGTTAAGTACGTTTAATTCGTAGCTGTTTATGCATGACCATGATAGTCATAGACGACCACCGACGATTAACCCTCGAGCCAACGGCGCGGAACGCCGTTCCGGGCGTAAGCCCGGGGCGAGGGTACTAATTCCCCCCTGGGAAACGAAAGCATTAGCCAAGTCTAAAGTTCATCAATGAGCTTGAGCATCAATGAGTGCATCAAGTTATCAACCAACTTACAAAGCTATAGCTCCTGGTCAGACGTGTGTTGTTGAGCTCCTGTTCAAAATGAATTCATCAACAGTTATTAATGCTTTATATAGTTTCTTTGGCAAGAAGAAAAATAAATTAACATGGTCAGGATCTCTAGAAGATCTCAAGGCATTTGTTCTTACAATAGTCGATGAAGAAACTGCTGAAAGTTCGACATGGCGTTCACCCAGTGGCGGAAAATGGTGCTTCGACAGAGATTAACTTAAAGTTACGTGGTATACGAAGAACGAAGCAATACTGTTTGTAGGGACCAAAGCTAAAGATTTGTCTAAACGAATACATGTTATTCTTGTAGAAGTCGACCCGAAGAAAGCCAAAAATAGCGATCTTAACAAGTCCTTAGAATGTGTTATGGCCGAAGCGAGCACTGAAGTGGATAATATTAGTCCTGATGAAACGCCAGGACCATGCACCTCATTGTTGCAAGTAAGTAATATCTCTTGCTGCAATATCAGTAACAATAATCATAACGAAAATGTGCTCGGGCTAGCTAGGCGAGTCTTGTAACCATGAAGCTACCAAGCAGGGTTTGTCAGAAGTAGAAATTACATCTCTTGTCCCCGAGGCTGTGGCTGCCAACCCTTGTACCCGTTGTGACAAGCATAGACGGGATATTGATAAGCTAAATACCGAAATTTCTGATCTAAGAAGAAAACTGTGATTGCCAACCCTTGTTCTGCCTGTTGTGACACCCATGGACGGGATATCGATAGGTTAAGGGGAGTACACCTTAATTAAATTTTAGGTTTGCGACATCATTATACTGTATCGGCTCTTAATATTGATAGATTATTGCAATTTCAACATGCTATATATCATTTTGAAGCTTATCAGATGCTGCAAACGATTATAATAATACTGGGTTACAAAAGTTAATTCATAATAGAAAAAGTGCTTGTAAGCCATGACAACGTGCATTTTTCGGCAGTCCATCTTTAAATTCTATCTTGTCAGGGGCAACCTATCATAGACTAATGGTCAGTATTTCTTTATATTTAGATGATGCTTTTGGAGTAGCTAGGTTTCCTGTTGCCATGGCAACCACTTGAATAGAAGTAACATATCACTGTGTGATAAAAATTGTCTAAAATACTAAGGTTTTAAATGATTAAAAAGAGCATTCACTATTTTTTTTAACATTGTCTTGAGAATCTCCTCTGAAAAAATTAGCAAGATTGGTCAAATATTTTTCAAGTTATTAGGTTTTAGGTAACGGCCCCTGCCAAAAATACCACTTTTGAGAAAACAGCTAACAAAGTTTATGAACTATGCACAAGTGTTTTCCATGTGTTGTGCTCTGTTAAAGACATTTAAAAACTAATGTCAAACATTGTTGGTTAACTCTAATGTTATTTCAGAAGTAATTGAGCAAGTGGGGCATTGTCACTGCTATCAGAAGTGTCTGAGTCAGCTTCAGGTAAAAGTCTAGCAAGTGGCATGTTGTCGACGTCATTACTTGAAAGATCAGCTTGGCCCAATGGATCAGCTTCGTTATAATTTCCACTGCTATAGGATGGTTCACCTTTCTCATTCTGCTGTTGAGCTGTCAATTTGGCTTCCCTTATCTTCCTTCTTCTTTCTTTTTCCGCATTGATGCTTTTTGTATGGATCGAGAAATTCTTGATTTATCTTTTTTCGCATTTCCTTCGCTCGTGAATTCTGCTGGAGGAATACTAGCAGCTCTCATCACATCATGACTTGAGCTGGCACCAGAATTAAAATGTGTTATTGCTGACATGACAGCCATCTCCACAACTTTAGGGCCTTTGTAGCGATGCTTTGGAGCGATGCTTTGGAGCTCTGTTCCAGACAAGGCCGTTGAAGCTTTCATTTGCATTTTGCGAATATCCAGATAGACACCGAAGCAATAAGGAATAGTCACTTAGTCGTGTAATTTCTGGCAACAAGAAATCTAAAAAAACGGCATCCAAATGGTGATCTTTCCTTTTCAAAGTTCCTTGTCGTTTGTATGAACACCAGCTATCTGCTCCCTCCGGGCAATATTTATGCCTTTCTGTTTCATCACTTAGTTCACATGTATGATACAGTACTGCCATGATAGCCTTCTGCATCACAGCTATTTGACTCTTCTGTTCCTCTGCTGAAAGTTTACCAGGCTTTACATTTGCTCTGATAGCATTACCGTAATAGGTTTGCAATTTATCCATGGCTTTGTCCGTAACTCTATGTTTACTGCCCTTCACTGACTTACCATCCTTTAGTTTGTTATGCTTTTGTCTGAGTTCCCTCAGATGAGTCCCCATTCTCTTCTGAACATGGCCAATGCAGTCTAAATTGAAGACCCTGGAACAACTGGCTTCACCACTATCATGTTGTTCTTTTCATATCTTATAGTCTTTTGACTCTTGCCACGTTATATTTTCCTTTGACCGCTTGTCCATATTTTCATACTTCTGACAGGCATCACAACATCCATATGTGTCCCATATGTTAGCATATGCTTTGCTATCTCCATCAGAAATCATGAATTTGTAGTGAATACCCGATTCCTTCGTTCGATCCCAGATTTTCTTTGCAATCGAGCATTCCATGGATCCACTTGAGCCAGTGTGACTTTGGGTGCATTGGTCTTAATGTCCGGAATACTATGAGGTGATATTCCCTTCAAAATGCAACTGCGATTTTTGTTATGCAACATTGTATTTTGATATACTATTTTTCTATAACAAGGCTGTATTTTGGAACACTGTATTATGCAAGCATGCTTGTATCCTGGAATACTGCAATGTGCAAGCTTGTATTTTGGAACGTTAAATTGTGTAAGATGGCATTATGGAACATTATACGATACAGATATGGATAGACTAAATAGATATGGATAGACTAAATAGATATGGATAGACAGCGATACAGATATGGATAGACTAAATAGATTGAAATTCAATTCCTTTTTTCTCAATCAACAAATAGGTCCGGAAGTCTTCAATAATGATTCACAAATAGACACATGCCTCAACACTGAAATGATGCAGTGTGATTATTATCTTCCACATGAGTTCAAAAAAAACCCCACACAATATGGACATAAAAAACGATTTCTCAATAATGCATCTTAACATAAGAAGTATTTGTAACAAATTCTGCTCCTTCAAGCATCTGACTAAGTCATTAAATTTAAATTTCCACGTAATAGGCTTATCCGAAACATGGTTAAGCGATATTTATAACACAGACAATTTTCAACTGGATAACTATGACTTTATTGTTTCGAATCGGACTAACAAAAAAGGCGGCGGTGTTGGTTTATATATCACAAAAGATTTAGATTACAAAATCCGCTCAGACCTAACCTTTAATATAGAAGACACTACTGAAACAAGTTTTGTAGAAATACTCACTAATACTGGTAAAAATGTAATTATAGGTGAAATTTATAGGCCACCAAACAATAAGAATGATTCGTTCGAAAATTCACTGGAAAAAATCCTAGATATAATTGATAAAGAAAACAAAATTTGTTATCTCATGGGTGATTTCAATATAGATCTATCTAAATCAGAATCTTGTGATTATTCAAACCGTTTTTTAGAACAATTGTTTACATCTTCATATTTCCCATTAATAACGAAAGCAACTAGAGTTACCCATCATACAACAACACTCATTGATAATATTTTTACAAACAATATTGAGAAACTTAAGGACAGCATAAACGGAATTATTTTAAGTGATCTTTCTGACCATTTACCAATAGTGCATTCATATAACACAAATGTTTTTCATAATATTATTCAACAAAATTCAAATTCTTATATGTTTAAAGGAATCATAAATAAAACAAACATAGAATCATTCAAAAATTCCATTAAAACTACATCGTGGGATAGTGTACTGAACGAGACTGAAAACCCAGATAAAGCTTTTGACGGGTTTTCTCGGTTGTTGACAGATTTATATAATGCTAACTTTCCAGTTGGAAAAAATAAAGCAAAAATTAACAAAAATAAAAGTCCATGGATGACAAAATGCATATTAAAGTCTGTAAAGAGCAAAAGTAAACTTTACAAGAAATTTTTAAACAACCCCACTAGTAAAAATGAGTTGGCTTACAAAAAATATAGAAATAAGCTAAATCATGTTATAAGAATTTCGAAAAAACAATATTATGAAGAACAACTTATCAAGTACAAACAAAATACGAAAATGCTTTGGCAAACACTAAACGAATTGTTAAACAATTCAAGAAAAACTACCAAAATATCTAAAGTATTTGTTGACACAAATTCAACAAATGTCTTAGATGATCCACACGAAATTGCTAACAAATTTAATGAATACTTCACAAATGTTGGACCTAATCTAGCCAAAAAATAAATACAAAGAAAACTATAAATTTTGAAAAATACCTTAAAAGTAACTATACAGATAGTCTTTTTCTCAATCCAATTATTGAAAATGGACTTGAAAATGAAATAATGAATATGAACTCAAATAAAAGCTCTGGGTATGATGATATAAGTACAAAAATCGTAAAACATATTGCTAAAGACATTTCGAAACCGCTAACACACATTTTTAATTTAACATTTCTACATGGAGTTATTCCTGAAGATTTAAAGAAAGCATTAGTTACACCAATTTTTAAAAATAGCGATGAAACTAGATTCGAAAACTACAGACCTATATCTGTTCTCACGTGTTTCTCCAAATTATTAGAAAAGTTGATGTACAATAGATTAATAAATTTCGTGGTAAAAAACAAAATCTTATCAAAACACCAATACGGTTTCAGGAAAAACAGATCAACGGAGCTTGCGATGATTGATTTTATCGACAAAATTACTGCTGCGATTGATCGGGGAGAATTCACATTTTCCTTGATTTATCGAAAGCATTTGACACAATAAATCACAGGATTCTGATTAAAAAACTGGAACACTACGGAATACGAGGAATAGCACAAAAATGGTTTGAAAGCTATTTAAATAACAGAAAACAAATTGTTAAATACAACGATGTACGATCAGAGGAATTCACAATTAACAGTGGTGTTCCTCAGGGATCTATTTTAGGACCTTTATTATTTCTCCTGTATATAAATGACATTCAATATTGCAGCGAACTTGTTTCCATGGTATTATTTGCAGATGATACAAGTATACTTCATAGTCACACTTGCCTTAAGACTTTGAATGAAATAATACAAACAGAAATAAATAAAATCACAGATTGGCTTAATGTTAATAAGTTATCGATTAATACGAAAAAAACAAAATTTGTTTTATTCAAATCTCCAAACAAAAGAACAAGTCATGATATCAAACTTTCAATGAATAATGACAATATTAAACAGGTCAAAAGTATAACATTCCTTGGGATTGTGATAGATGAATGTTTGACATGGAAATATCATATAGAACTAGTTTCAAAAAAGATTATCAAAGCTACTGCAATAATTTCCAAAATCCGATACTTCACAAATATTAATTCTCTAAAACTAATTTATTATGCGTTAGTCTATCCATATCTTATCTATGGTAACCTTATTTGGGGGAATACGTATAAGACACGTATTCAAAAACTTTTCACCATTCAAAAGAAACTTGTAAGATTGATAACGTTTAGTTCTTATTTTGAGCACACTGATCCGATATTTAAGAAACTTAAGATACTCAACATCTACAAAATAAATGAGTATTT